ATCATACATAAAATCCTGCATCCATTCCCTAATACTGCAAATTGTGGGTGTGGTGGTCCAGACCTGTAATTCCAGCAGCTTGCTTGCTGCATAATGAGATGAAGGCTCTGTGTGTGCACACATGTACACAGTCTTTCATTTCTCAGAGTGTAGTAGGCACTGGGATTTCTGTCTTGTGATTTGTATCTTGGCCATGATCTTATCTGCTTGCTTAAGATTCATGTTGTGAAGAATCCCAACAAATGGCTCAGGTTAAGAACTGAAAACCCTTGCCAATTGCCCTATGAATGGGCCATGATGGGACTGAAGCCATTGCTCTATCAGGCCTCCAGGCTGACAACTCAACTGAAACCTCAGGAATAACCCTGGGATAAAGCCACCCAGTTAAGCTACTGCCAGATTCCTGACCTTTGAAAACTTCAAGATAAATAAATCCTTGTTTTGAGCTGCTAAGTTTGGAAGTTACTTGTTACACTTTTAGAAATAGCTGATACTTCCAGCCTATTTTTCTCTGCCAATAGTTTCACCGACTTACTATCTATATTTTCGTGATGAGCTCAAATTAACTGAAGTTACTTGCTACTTTAGCTGGCAAAATGCATTGAGGAAGGCTGAAACCATACTCCCCCTGTTCACTTACCTGGACTTCAGGGGGTGGATAAAAGTGTGAGGGATGTGCCAGACTGTATGGCCCCTAGTACCACAGAAGTAGTTATTACTCATGCCTGCTCTCGTAACACCTGCAAGGCTTCTAGTAAGGAGTAATCATTAAACCCTTGGAAGAAAACCATGCTGAAAGGAGGTAGTCTCCTTCAGAATATCCAGTGGTCCTGGCATCCAGAAGACTGATGGCTCCTGGCTGCCCATTTCTTCTCCTAGGATGGTTGCTATCTTCACAGGAGCTGTCTAGACATCTGTACTTGGGGTCTGGATAATTTCTTCAGTAGGAGAGAGCGGGCAAAGAGTTTTCCAAGGCATCATGGAGAGAAGGTAAGAAGAGCCATAATGCATTTCCATTTCCCTAGCCCAGACTGTATTTGCCTCTAGGCATCTATCTCTCAAAACACATTGTCAGTTGAAGACTGCCTTCTGTGGGGCTGGAGAGATGGCTCAGTGGTTAAGAACACTGGCTGCTTTTCCTGAAGGACCAAGTTTCAACTCCCAGCACCCACAGTTCACAACTGGCTATAACTCCAATTCTGAGGGATCTGACACTGTCACACAGACAGACATGCAGGCAAAACACCAATGCATTAAAAGCAAATAGTTTTTAATTGAATTTTTAAAAAGACATGTTTAAAAAAAAGACTTTTTTTATGCTCTCATGGGTCTTAGAGCTGTACTACAATTTCTGTAATCTGTTTTTCATATATTATATAATAATGGGTCTTTTTTTGAGACAGGGTTTCTCTGTATAGCCCTGGCTATCCTGTAACTCACTTTGTAGACCAGACTGGCCTTGAGCTCAGAGATCTGCCTACCTCTGCCTCCCAAGTGCTGATATTAACGGCATATGCCACCATGCCTGCCTCTAAGAAAATATTTTTATTATATTAATTTATTCATTTTGTTTGTTTGTTTTGGGGGGTGGGAGAAGTACATGTAGAGGTCAGAGCACAGCTTACTTACATGAGTCAGTTTTCTCTTTCCACCATGTGGGTCCTGGGGATCAAACTGAACTTATCAGGCTTGGTAGCCTTTACCCACTAAGCCCTCTTTTGAAGATCAGCCCTGGAACCCGTATTTTCCTCTGAAGTTTCTCTAGTGGTAGTTTCAGCAATATATATAATTTCCTATATTGGAATGGACCAGGCATCTTAGAGAAAGAATAGAGGTTTCTGCCTTTCAGAGCTGAAGCTTCCTGTTCAAAGAATGGACCCATTGGCATTTTTTTTCTTTTTTTGAGACAGGGTTTTTCTGTGTAGCCTTGGCTGTCCTGGACTTACTTGCTTTGTAGACCAGGTTGGCCTCAAACTCCACCTCCCTTTGCCTCCCCAAGTGCTAGGATTAAAGGCGTGTGCCACTGTGTCTAGCTCATTGGTTCCAAGTTGCCATACACAGAACTGACTTTAAATATCAGATGGCTCATTGTCTTAAGAGTACTGGATGGTGGTGGTGCATGCTTTTAATCCTAGTATTCTGGAGGCAGATGGATCTCTGTAAGCTTAAGACCAGCCTGCTCTACAGAGCTAGTTCCAGGACAGCCAAGAATATACAAAGAAACCCTGTCTCAAACAAAACAAAACAATGAAACAAGAGTACTGGTTGCTCTCCCAGAAGGCCTGGTTTTCATTCCCAGCACCCAAATGGGAATTCACAACCATCTGTATCCAGTTTCAGGGGATCTGATGCCATTTTCTATCCTCTGCAAACTTCAGGCACACAAGTGGTGCATAGACATACATACATGCAGGCAAAACACCCACCCATACACATAAAATTAACATTAAAGCCGAACATGGTGGCACATACTTTTAATCCCAGCACTCAGGAGGTAGAGGCAGGAGACTTTCTGAGTTTGAGGCCAGCCAGAGCTATATAGAAAGACCCTGTCTCAACACAAAACAAAATTAAAGTGTTTGAAAGATTGATAAAATCAGAATAATACAACATACCCTGTAGGGTATCAGCTAGTTACTGAGAAAAGAAACACATAAGGTCTCCAGAAAGCCCTTATACTTTCATATTATGGACGGCTTCCAAAGGGTCCAGCCCCTTGTTCATGGTATACACTTGGTACACCCATAGTATTTGAATACCCTGGACACAATAAGATAGTTTGTCCTGCTTTTCAAGTGACTATTCCTTCTCTACCAATACTTCAGGATGATAAGAACCTTTTAAGAGCCATCCTCAACTTCACATGGTAATCTGGGGGATGAGAGGAGCAGATAAGAAGATGCTTTCCCTGGTGTCTCTTCATCTCTGGCAGCATAACTTTTGGCACAGCAAGGTCATTGCTTGGGAACTCTAATTAGCTTATCCATCAGTCACCCATAATATCCCTAGTAGAGGACAGTTACCTTATGGGAAAACTACATATTCTGATTGAGGAAATTGGGCTGCCTTTTTTTTTTTAAATATAGTGTTCTGCTAGAAGAGGCTACCGGATTTCACCTGTAGATTCCATGTGGTTGGTGGGAATTGAACTCAGGATCTTTGGAAGAACAGCCAGTTGTCTTAACCTCTGAGCCATCTCTTCAGCCCACTGATTACCTTTTTGAGAGATTTTTACTTGGTAGCCCAGGCTAGAGTTGTATTTTTTGCCCCCCCCCCCCAAACAAGGCTCCTCTATGTAGCCGTAGCTGTCCTGGACTAGTCCAGGTTGGCCTCGAACTCACAGAGGTCCACCTGCTTCTGCCTCCCAGAGTGCTGGCATTACCAGCTAGACTTGAATTTGTGATTCAAGCAGTTTGGGAATATGGTTGCATACTGTTGCAGCTTGGTCAAGGACCTGATTTTTTTTTTAAAGATTTATTTATTTATAACATGTACATGCTTGGTGGCTACAAAGGTCAGAAAGGAGTTAGATCCTCTGCAAGGTTGTAAGCCACCATGTGGGTTCTGGGAATTTAGTAATAAGTGCTTGTTTATTTATCTATTTAACGTGCATTGGTGTTTTGCCTGCATATAGTCTGTGTGAAGGTGTTGGATCCTCCTAGAGACAGTTGTGAGCTGCCATGTGGGTGCTGGGAATTGAACCTAGGTCCTCTGGAAGAGCTGCTCTTTCATCTGTCTACCTACCTACCTAATGTGCATTGGTGTTTTGCCTGCATATATTTCTGAATGAGGGTATTGGATCCTGGAGTTAAAGACAGTTGTGAGCTGCCATGTGGGTGTTGGGAATTGAATCCAGGTCCTCTGGAAAAGCAGTCAGTGCTCTTAACTACTGAGCAATGTCTCTAATCCTATAATGGGTGTTTTTTTGTTTTCAAGACAGGGTTTCTCTGTGTAGCCTTGGCTCTCCTAGAACTCAGAGATCTACCTGCTTCTACCTCCTGAATGCTGGGATTAAAGGCATGCACCACCACTGCCAAGCTGGTGAGTGTTTTTAACCACTGAGCCATTATTTTGCAAATACTTAGGCAAACTCTTTTTAGGGCCCAAGTTTTATCATTGCTTGAGTTCTCTTATCCATATTACTGATGTGGAATGGGCACATATGCTGACATGGTTAAACCAGACATCCATCAACTAGAAACCTGCTTAGGGTTCTAGCCGTGGAATGTCATAGTTCCACAAGCTGGTTCCAAAGCACATGGAAAGCTAGTAACCTTAGACCCCTGATCAGGGCTGCCAGCATCTTGCACTGCCAGCATCTTGCACTGGTAAGACCCACAAAGAAGAATCCAGATGTTAGAAGTGATGAGTGGAATACCATGGAATGCCCAGATGTTTCTCTCTTTAGGCTGTAGATACTCTTGTCTCTTTTTGTTGTTGTCTTCTTGGGGCTTTACCTCATCTATTTATTTATTTATTTATTTATTTATTTATTTATTTATTTATTTATTTAGGCGGGGTCTCACTATGTAGCTCTGGCTATTCTGTCACTGGAACTCACTCTGTAGACCAAGCTAGCCTCGAACTCAGAGAGATCCACTTGCCTCTATCTCTGAATCCTGGGATTAAAGGCATGCACCACCATGCTTTTAAAGAGGCACAAATCTTACCCTTTTTAGATAGGAATTTTTTCTTCCTCATCTTTTTGTGCCTGCCCTGAAATAACACAGCTATCAAACAGCCCTTTATATTCCAAGCAGACAGATACCCCCCCAAAACAAAACAAAACAAAACGAAACAAAAAAAACAACCAAGCAAACAAACATAGATTTTGCGTTTTCTGGAGCAGTCCCTGGGCTGGGCTCACCCATAACTGATTTTCAACAACTATTCTCCTTGTGTCTGAGAAAACAGGAGTCACCCTGAATCAAGGGAGATATTCCAGTCCCATCAACTGAAGAGCCCACAGTAACTTCTACAACATCCAGGAAGTAGAGAAACACAAATACCACAGTAACCTTTGTGTGTGCAAAGTATAGTTTAGAAACAAAACAAATACAGAAAAGAGGCCACAGCCTCTGTGGAGTAGCGCCAACACTGAACCACACAGTTTTAAACCTGGGGAGAGAGGGCCCCAGGCTCCTATGTCTGGGGTCGGCAGGCAGGGAATAAAGTCTCATGTGTAGGCTCTCATGGCAAACTATGGAGTGTTGTTGGGGTTGGAAGGTTGGAGGGAGTACATTCAAGATGGGGCTGTGGCCTCGGCCCCCTCCTCTGAGTCCCATACTTCCGACTGTAGGTAATCAGCAAAGAGAGCCTTGGCCCTTCTTAAGACACGGCCTAGATGGTGCTTCCTCACCAGTCGGTCAAAATGCATGGCTAGCTCATTGTAATCCAGCCCATTGCGCATGATGTGGTCACGGTGCTCCAGCAGGATAGCCAGGCAGAGGAAGAGCATAAAGGGGTTCCCTCGGCCAAACTCCTGGGGTGGAGGAAGGCCCATTGGAGGTGGGGGTGGTAAGGACTTCCCAGGGTCTCTGGGAGAACCTATCTCTTGCATCAAGGGAGATCCTACAGCTATGTCACCAGAAGGAGAAGCCTCCTGGGTAGATGGAGGAGATGACGAAGATGGAGAATCGGGCCGAGAAGAGGAGGAGAGGAGTGGATCTGGGGAGTTCAGCAACGGCTCAGAGAGAGACTTAGAGCTAATTAGGGTAGGTGAGTGGGATAGTTGAACCAGAAGGTCCTTCCTGGGGCCCATGTTATCCCTGAGTTGCTGGAGACCATCCAGGCTGGCCTGTCTCAGGAGACGTCCTCCACCACTAGGTCCTTGGCTAGATGTAGCTAAGTGAACAACAGCATCTTCAAAAGGACTGCCACCTCCACCAGCAGGCCTCAGCATGTGCCTCTGACGTACTGCTCGTCCCCTGTGGCTACCAAAGCCAGTGTCTGCCACTTGGCTGGGAGGTCCGACAAGCTCCACTTCATGTTCAGGAGGGTCAGGGGGCAGTGAACTCCAGGTGACCTCTAGCATTCGGAGAGCATCATCAAAGGCAAACTCACGCTTAAGCTCCAGCAGCAGCCAGCGGTAACAGAAAAAGAGGTCGTCGGCACCTGCTTCTTGCAGGTACTGGTAGAAGTCTGGGTCAGCATGTCTCAATAACAGTTTGAGGTGGGCAAACTTGGTGGCCATGGCACGGCCATCAGGATGGAAGTTGGCAGCCAGGCGCTTCATGATGCCACAAAAGCACACAAAGGCATGGCCTTCATGGTCCATGACAGCAAGGATGGGTGAGGCCAGGTCACTCATGCCCTGGCAGTATGATACCTGTGGATGAGTAACAGCATAGGTGGTGAGCAAGTCATGCAGGGCCCGTAGGTGTGGACTATCCTCAGGCCCTGCATAGTAGGGGTGGGCTCGGTCTGTGCGAAGGACATCCTTGAGGACTGTGCTGCGGATGAACTCCAGGTCTTCAGGGTTCACTCTCTGGGCCCACTCACTTTTGAGCTGCTCATACTCTCGGCTCTTACGTTTCATGTAGTCCATCCGCTCACGGCCCGTTAGCCCATCTGGGTACACATTCAGGAGGTACCGCCATACCACCTAGCCAGAGACAAAAGAAAATATGAAGTTCAGCTTCAACTATGGAGTTGTCACACCCATGTCAATGAGTCACCACACACCCTGTCTCTTGTGTCCTCTGTCCTCCTCGTAATAGGTTTGCCTTCCTGCCACTGACTCTTAAGACCTACCTGACACAGAACCCCCTTCCTTGGATTTTTTTCTACTGTACCTATGACAGTATGTTCCACTGAACGTATCTACCAAGCTACCAGTGACCACAGAGTGATGGATGCAGTCAGTGACTGAGGCAACTCACCTTTCGAAGTGAAGGCTCCACTCCGCCATGGTAGATCCGTAAGCGCAACTCCTCAGGACGGGAAAGCTGGCCTTCATGGTTCAGGTATGTGTGAAACTCAGCATCACTCAGTGGTGGCTTGAAAGGCTTGACATCTTCCCCATAAGACCAACTCAGCACCTGCTGGACCTTAGACAATGTACGACCCACCTGGGAGGAAGGGGAGACGGAAGCTACAGGTTACCTGTGGAGGTTTAGGGCAGATGCCAACCAGCAAGCTCAGGAATGGGAATTCCAGATAGGCCCTTCCCTCCAACCACAGCTAAAGTGAACCCCCCCCCCATCTCCTGAAATCACCTGAGAGAGGATGGATTGTGTAAAAGGCAAGGCAACTGTCGTCAGTGAGGGTCGCTTCTCAGCCAGTAACACATCGGATCCAATGACATCTTTAGGGCTAATTATGTCCCAGTCTTCCAGCAATGGGCCTGAACGTACAAAGTGAAGCACTATAAGAACAGAAATGTGAACCCAGATCACAGGGTTCCTTTTCTAAAGCTTAGCTACCAACAGGGCAATAAACATCTATTTCCTCGTCTCTGTTTCATCCAAACAATGTTAAAAAAATCAGCCATGAACAGTTTTTACATGGGAAATATTTCACAAAATGGCTGGAAAGCCTTTAATATTTTAATGATTTAAGTAATATGTATTGAGTGCAAGACACTGGGACAAGGGATTAACCTTAAGAAATAATAATGTTTGTTGAGCCTGGTAATGCAGGCCTGTAATATACAGTTCCTGGAGACAGAGACAGGAAGATGGACACAGACACAGACAAACACACACTAGACTATATAATGAGGCTACCTCCTTTAAAAAATACTTGAGGACCTGGCACGCCTTTGATACCAACACTTGAGAGACAGAGGCAGGGTGACTGATCTCTGTGAATTTGAGGCCAGCCTGGTCTACAGTGAGAGTTCCAGGATAGCCAGAACTATATAATGAGGCCCTGTCTCAAAACAAACAAATAAAAAACAAAAATAAATAAATAAAAAACTTGGGGACCAGTGAGATGGCTCAGTGAGAAAAGGCACTTGCCACGAAGCCTGATGACCTACGTTTAATCTCTGGAACTCACACAGTAGAACACATGCACCGTGACAATGTGTACTCCCCCCAATAAAAATAAAATAAATCAGGTCCTTATACTCGATACTATGGAAGTACTAGCTAGTATTCTTTTTAAAATATATTTTTGTGCGTATGGAGAGAATAGTCCTGGGGATTCAAACCCAGGGTATACATGTGCTGTACAAGTATTTTGCTGCTGAGCTATATCATGAGGCCTTTTGAAAGACACCTTTTTTGTTGTTGTTTTTTCTCTGTGTAGCCTTGGCTATCCTGGACTTGCTTTGTACACCAAGCTTGCCTCGAACTCACAGAGATCCACCTGCCTCTGCCTCCCTTCTTGAGTGCTGGGACTAAAACACCTTTTTTGGGGACGGTGTCTCATTAAGTTACCCAGACTGGCCTTGAACTTATTCCAGTCCTGGCAGGGTTTTAAACCTCCTTATGCGTTAGCCTCTGGCGTACGTGGAATTAAATGACCGGGTGTGTGCCACCTCACTTGGCTTTATCCTTATTTTTGATGAGGAAACAGGTCTATAGATATTTACTTGTTCAAGGGCCCCCTAGTGAATGAAAGAAGTGGAATGTGAATCCCATGCCCAAAGTCTGAGAGCCAACACTCCTCATCTTACATTCACAATAGTTTTCCCCACCAAAATGATAGAAATTATGATTACCATTTTTCTTTTACAGAAAATGACCAAAAAGGTTTGGAACAACTAGTTAGTGACCAAGATTCTACAACTAGGAAGTAATAAATTCCTATTCCTAGGATCACAGCCTCATTTACCTTACCCCATAGTCCAGACCCAGCTTAGAAAAAGTGTTAGTGGAGAGGTATGTTGTGTATGTTAGACAAAGGGAATTTGCTATGCCTGACCTTAGCCGCTCCTGGCCCATGAAACAGTGGCAGAAATTTCTTCCTTCTCTATCTTTATTTCCCCCTTGTGTCCTTTTTGTTTTATAGTTTCCTTTTATGTGTTAAATTAAGTGTTTTATCATTATGAGGTTTTCATAAACATATATGAAAATACTTTGTTCTTATTCATCTCCCTCCCTATTGCCCTCCTCTTGCTGATCTCTGCTTCCATGTCACATGTATTCCATTCTCCTCTCCCCCTTTGCTTAAGATCTCTTCCTCATCACTCTTCTCATTTCAAGTATGATGTGGCTGCAGCAGCAATGGCCAAGATTCCATTTTTATTTTTTCCTTTCAAATTAAAAAGAAGCTAGGCAGTAGTGGTTCATGCCTTTAATCCCAGCATTCGAGAGGCAGAAGCAGGTGGATCTCTGAGTTCTTGGCCAACCTGGTCTACAAAGTGAATTATAGGATAGGCAGGGTTACACAGAGAAACCTTGTCTCAAAAAAAAATTCTGTTTAGGTGTACAGGTTTTTGCCTGCATGTACGTCTGTGTACCACATGCATACCTAGTAGCCCAGGGAGGCCAGAAGAGAGGGCATCAGATCTCTCAGGACTGGAGTTAAAATAGACAGTTGTGAGCAGTCATGTGGGTATTGGGACTTGAACCTGGGTCTTTGGGAAAAGAAGCCAATGCTCTTAACTATGGAGCTGAACTATGGCTCCAACCCAGGAAGATTTTGTTTTACTTTTACTATTAATTACGTATATGAGTATGCACCTTTTTATTTTTTTCTTTATTCAAGACAGGGTTTCTCTGTGTAATAGCCCTGGCTGTCCTGGACTCACTTTGTAGACCTGGATGGCCTCAAACTCAGAAATCCACCTGCCTCTGCCTCCCTGGTGCAGGGAATTAAAGGTGCACACCACCAAGCCCAGCAGTGAGTATGTGTTTTTACAGAGTGTAGGAGCCTGCAAAAAACATTGGATTCTCCTCCTGGAATTAAAGGTTGTGAGCCATGCCTTTAATCCTAGCACTCAGGAAGCAGACAGGCAAATTTCTGAGTTTGAGGCCAGCCTAGTATACAGAGCAAGTTTTAGGACAGCCAGGGTTATACAAAGAAACCCTGTCTCAAAACAATAACAACAAAAATAAACCAAGAAAGTTTACATTTATTTGCTGTGTAGGTACATGGATGAGCCTCAGTGCATGTGTGGAGGTTAAAGACAACCTATGGGAGTCACTTTTCTCACTCTACCCTGTGGATCTTGGAAATTGAACTCAGGTTGTCAGGCTTGGTGACAAATACCTTTACTGGCTGAGCTTTCTCACCCCAGTAAGCACTCTTGACCGTGGAACCACCTCAGCCACCATGGATCCTTTGTGTGTGTGTGTGTAAGTGTGCCTGTGTACTAGGGATGGAACCTGAGACCATGTATGTGAAGAACACTCTACCAGGGACCTTCAGCCTCAGCCTGAATTTAGGTTTGAAAAAAATGTTTTGAGACAGGGTCTCACTCTAATCCAGGCTGACTTGGAACTTAACTTTGTAGCTCAGGCTGTCCTTGAACTCATGGTGATCCTTATAATTCAGCTTCCTGAGTTCTAGGATTTCAGGCATGAACTGCCAGGTTCAAGACATCATCACAGTGTTGCAAAAGCAGAAAACATCCAATGGCAATTTCATTATATGAATAATTATGTGAAACAAACAGTTATATGAAACAGATCAACTTCTATTTGTTTAAGTAGACCATTTGCAGGTCAATGACAGCCCTAAACAGTGTTTTCATGGACTCATAGCACTTTCTTTTGTTTTGACACGGGGTTTCTCTGTATAGCCTTGGCTGTCCTCGTCTCACTTTGTAGAGCAGGCTGGTCTCAAACTCAGAGATCTACCTGCCTCTGTCTCCCTGAGTGATGGGATTAAAGCAAAGCCATGTCTAGATGCCACTGCCTCTCCATGAATGTCTCTGAGGTTACTCCAAAACAAAGGGCTCACAAAGGATAGGAAGAGATGCACTCCCAGCTCAGCTATTCCTTTTTGCTTCATCTGTTCAATTGCCAGGAACCTGACCCATTCCTGCCCCCTCCCACTCCCTCAGTCCTCAAGTCCAAATCATTACCATTTCAATATCACCTCATTTTTCATCCACTTTGTGAACCCTATCTAAGCCACCACCCCAGATACCTTAGACTGCTCCTTCCTAACTAATCCCTTGTACGATTTCTGTCCCCACCCCTCCCTGTTCCCCCATCACTCCACCCCCAACCCCTTGCTAGCTGCCACTGTGGTCTTGCTAAAACAATAATCAGAGCATTAACACACTTCCCAGGTGAGATGAATATTGTACTCCTTACCAAATTAAGAAACTACAGCAAGACATAGTTAAGGTTAAATGATTCCAGTGAAAAAGTAAAAAGAACTGGAGGCCAAGCTTGGGAAACCCCATACACAAATAATAAAAATGAAGAGAAAAAAATGATCAGGTGGAGATCTTAGAATTAAATAGGCAACAAGTATGGTGAAAATTTTTCTGAAGAAATGGCTCACCAAGAGCTGGAGAGATGGCTCAGTGGTTAAGAGCATTGGCTGCTCTTCTAAAAACAAAAACTTAAAAGACCATTTCAGGATGGGCCTTTAATCCCAGTGCTCAGGAAACAGAGGCAGGGGGATTTGTGTGAGTTTGAGGCCAACCTGGTATATAAAGTGGGCCAAAGCTATATAGAGAAACCTTGTCTCAAAAACCAAAAAAGAAAAAAAAAAAAGAAAGAAAAGAAAAAGAGAAAGAAAGAAAAAGCAAAAATGGCTCACCAATTGGCTGAAGCTAGTTAACATACATTAATGGGCCCCTCAGAACCTATTCACATGTTAATGTAATGTCCATTTGAAGATGGCCTTCTGCTGTACAACTCTAGAGGCTAGAAGATAAGGGTTCGAGCATCTGTGAAGCACTGAAAAAGCCTGAGATGCAAGGGGCCCACACCCAACTAAGATAAATACAAATTGATTTGGCCAAAGAAAGGCTTTTTCTGCTTGTGTCTATGGAGCTGGATATACTAGATGAGTCCTCTACCACTGAACTATCTATACTTTAGCTCAAGAGAAGCATTTTGACCATTTTAACATTTAAGTCACACACCCTATTAGAGGAGAACAAGAAGTTCTTTGGCAAATGAACACCACATACATGACGGTGGTCTCACAGGTTACAATAGAGATGAAAAACTACTACTGATGACATAGCTACTGAAGCACAACACACCACTCCTGAGTTTGTGATGACTGTTCTGTAAATAAATCCTCGCTGCTAGCTGTATCAAAGTGTAGCAACAGAATTAGGTGTAGTATATCATATTTGATACTAAGTAATGATGTTACTGTTTTTGGATACAGTATTTATTTCGACATTTTATTTCATTTGTTTTGAGACAGAGTCTCACCATGTAGCCCAAGCTAGTTTGGAACTTGTTATATACACTAGGCTGGCCT